CGTCAAGGCGACCGACATCGAGGGCTTGCAGCTGCTCCCCGGCAGCCGCAGCTTCCACGACGTCGACCACCTGGCGACCGCCGGCGGTGGCGAGTCGCGCCTCGTCGCGGACCACCTGGCGGCGAGCCTTAGCGTTTACGACGCCGTGCTGGTGGACTGCCCGCCGTCGCTGGGGACGCTCACCGAGACGGCCCTCGCTACGGCTGATGAAGTGGTGATGCCCCTCGAGTGCGAGTACTTCGCCATGGAGGGGCTCACCCAAATGATCGAGCTCGTGAAGCGGGTGATGACCCGCCGCAACAGCCGTTTGCGGCTCGGCGGGATCCTGCTAACCAAGCACGACCCAACCCTCGAGCTCACCCACGAGGTCGAGCGCGAGGTGCGTGACTTCTTCGGCGAGGCGGTCTTCCAGACCGTCGTGCCGCGGGACGTCGCCCTGGCCGAGGCCCCCAGCCACGGCCAATCGATTTTTCAATACGACTGCCGCTCGCGCGGCGCTAGGGCCTATATCGAAATCTGTCAGGAGGTGCTGTCGCCATGAGCAGCCAACGTCGCTTGGGTCGCGGTCTCGAAGCCTTGCTGGGCCGTTCGCTGGACGAACAAGGCCACCCCCCCGTTCCACAAGCCACCGAACCGATGGGCGGCGAGCCGATCGGCGAGGCAGAGAGCTTCGTCGACCCGGGCGTGATGTCGCGCGACGAGGAGGGCCAACGCTGGCTCGACATCGGCGTCATCGAGGCCAACCCCTTCCAACCGCGGAAGCACTTCGACGAGGAGCAGATCGCCGACCTCGCCGACTCGATCCGCGAACACGGCGTGCTCCAGCCGCTCGTGGTGCGTCGCCTCGACGGCCGCTTCCAGCTGGTGGCCGGTGAACGCCGCCTCCGCGCCGCCCAGGCCGCCGGCTGGCAACGCGTGCCGGTCCAGGTCCGCGCCTGCGACGACCGCGAGACGGCCGAGCTGGCGATCGTCGAGAACCTCCAGCGCACCGACCTCAACGCGATCGAAAAAGCGACCAGCTTCGACCGCTACCTGCGTGAGTACGACTGCACGCAGGAAGAGCTCGGCCGGCGGATCCACATCAACCGCGCCACGATCGCCAACCTCGTGCGGCTGTTGGAGCTGCCGCAAGAGGTCAAACAGATGGTGATCGACGGCGCGCTGACCGCCGGCCACGCCAAGAGCATCCTCGGCCTCCCCGCCGACCAACAGACGACGTTCGCCAAGCGCGTCATCAGCGAGGGCCTCACGGTCCGTAAGACCGAGGAGCTGGTGCAGGAGGCGGCGCAAGGCGGCCTCCGCGTCGTCGGCGACGACGGCGTCAGCCGCCAACCCGGCGCCACCCGCAGCGAGCAGATCGCCACGCTCGAGCAAGAGCTGACCACGGCCCTCGGCACGAAGGTCGCCCTCAGCCAAAACGCCAAGGGCGCCGGCAAGATCACCCTCCACTTCAAAGACGCCGACGAGTTCGAACGCCTGCGGGCGATCCTGCGGGGCGAAGGGCAGCCGGTAACCAACGCGGCCTGAGCCCAACAGAATCCGAAACCCTCTTCTGTGGGAGGGGTCTCTAGACGCCGATGACCGCGTCCATCCGAAACGGCATGGTGCGCGAAATCGGGGTCTGGAGACCCCTCCCACAGCCCTTTCATGGCCGGCCGTCGCCTTCGCTGTGGCGAGCCCTTCACCGGCTTGTTAGGGTACAGCTGGAGGATCGATCGATGGCCATCGACAAGAGTGAACTTGACCAGTTCTACGACTACGCCAAAGCGGAGGAAGCGTCCTCCCTTGAAGAGGCGTTGTTGCGTTGGCGGTTTCAGCAAGGCCCGCGCGTCCAACCCGCCGCCGTGTTTGCCGAAGGTCGGAGCCTCCGAGACCGGATGCTCGACTCGGGAGTGCTCGGGAGTTGCGGCTCCTTGCCGGTCGATCTCAGCACCAACCCCGACTACATGAACGGATTCGGGGTCAGCGGATCGGCGCTGCCGTGACCGCCGTCCTCATCGACACCGGCCCATTGGTGGCCCTGCTGAGCCACAAAGACGCCCAGCACGAACGGTGCAGCGACATGGCCGCGACGCTGACAGCGCCGCCGATCACGACCTGGCCGGTGCTCACCGAGGCGGCTTGGCTGCTGCGTCGTGACCAACGCGGGGTCGAGAATCTGCTCCGGATGGTCACGGGCGGGGACATCCTCGTCGCTCATCTCGACGCGACGGCGGCCGAGTGGCTCCACGCCTTCCTTCAGAACTACCGCGATCTGCGGCCCCAGCTGGCCGACGCCAGTCTCGTTTACCTGGCGGAGACCTTGCGGATCGACACGGTGTTCAC